TAAGTGCCCGGAAGATAAACACACAGAATCAGGAAGTTTAGTGGACGCAAGACCGTGCACAAAAACAAAAAGCAGTACCACCAATAGTACTCGGAGCGGACGAAAGGCCCCTCACTGAGAGTATCCCGCTCATAGATTAGCCAATTGAATTCGATTTCTTGCGGCCTAAGAGGTTAGCTGCCAGATGCATGTATACGCGAGATGAGACTGGAGATTAAACGCGTAACCCCGCACGACTGCACTGAAGACCCAGAAAAACTGACTGGTAGCAAGAGTTGGTTTACTATCAGCCAAAGGTGAACACGCCGTCTACAGCTTCGGATTTATAATTCGATAGCATGGCAGTGCAGGACATAGGCCATGAGGTTGAATGCTAGTATAGAACATGAGTTACCACATGCTGGTAGTGTCCTGAGGAGAGCTCAGTTTGCCTTGAGACGGTAGATACGGCATTGTCATTGGGGAGGGCAGTTTGCGTTGATACATCAGTGGTGTCCATGAAAAAAGCTCGGGTGTAGCCCGCGATTTGAGTCGCTGCATGATGACTGTTGTTAAACCTGTTAGGTAGGATAAGTCTGCGCACGCTTCGCGGAACCGTGCGGCATATCGGGAGCAGGATGATGTTTTTCCAACCATGGAAACATAGGGGTCGGAATGTAGCGACATGTTTTTCCGATATATGAACGATTATGTGCGTAATTTTGTACAACGCTTTGCTTCGGATTAGATTGACAATAACCCCAAGTTGGTTGTTATTCATAAGAACGTTTCGGCGAACTTCTCGGTAACAGTGCGGTTGGCATCCTGTGCCACTCGGCCATACGTCGCGGCTGCACGTTTCGCTTTCACAGAATAGCTCTGTTAAAAGTACACAGCGTTCTGAGTTTCCATCGTATATCAAATTGTCCAGCAAGATACTCAGTGATACCCATCGGCTGCTTGTGCTTGCCAAAAAGCTATTTCACCGCAGCTGATTGGCATACCTAGTCCAAATCCGATCACCCACTTTATCCATGTATAGCAATTATTTAAGCCTCTTTCGGTTGGACTTGTCTCCCACTGAGGTCTCTCCATACAACAGCCTGCATATTATTGAACACGGCCAGGAACTTTGCCTAGCTGTTCGGTTAGATTGTCAGCACTAATTCCGATTACAATAATGTTGTCCAGGTATGCAGCAGTTCTATCAACATCTCCCAGCGTTGTATATAGGACTTAACCACGGCAAACTGCCGACTGGAATTATGTGATCTTTGCATCCATTTTCTGACCGATATGCACCAACTGTACGCAGTTCGCATTGGAACAAGCAATGAGTTGGGCGGATAGTAGTTGCAAATACTTCTTATGTTGCTCGCCATTCAGTGCAGTGTTGTTGACGTAACTTGTTCCCGCGATTGGCCACCGTAGATCCCAGGTACTTGTAGTGAACTTTCTAGGGGTTTTTCGCTCAGTATGATGCTAACTCCGCACGCAACTATATTCATACCTACCCTCACTGTTTGTCTTTTCTGCGACGAAAACCAACCAAGCGTCCGGTCCACCGTATATCTTGTCGGTCCAGGTTGGCACTTCTCAGCAGCCCCGGCGTAGCATGTTACATATGTGTGTTCGCATTTTCCGCCTAGCTATGGTTTTCCTGTAACGCATCAACCTGAACATATTCATAATAGTGTCACTAGAGTTCAGCTCCGCTTTCGCGCCCATTGTATGCTCGATGAATCTTCTTGGTAAAATATCAGAGACATCACCGGATCACGTTGCGCAATTGACTGCTAAATTCATTGCACATTACCCCTTAATGAATCTACGACAAATTTAGTGCTCTGGAGTCGAATATATAGGACCGCATGGATGTTCGTTCTTCTCTACGGCAACAAGAATTGATCTTTACGGCCCAAACATCTAATTTCCGAGTGTCATTTCGCGCAGAACATTTTTCGTATCGGTTCCCATAACCACGTATGCAGCGATATGATGCACAGATGAGTGCCACATGGGCAATCAACTAACAAATTGAAATTGTTTTAATTTGGCTACGTACTTCGTTTGACCGCTTGCTGGGTGGGGTTTGGTTTTACTGATGCTAGATGGCTACTTGCCAATGTGTGTACATCCTGGCACAACGGACCATACGTTTCAGTTACCTACTTTGTTCAATCTGGTATCTAAGCCCCATTCACCGAAATCTCACATTTCGCTTTAACGAAAGGGAGAGACAACTTGCTGAGACCGCGAGCCGACGACAGCAAAGTGCTCCATCCAGCAATCTTGCTAGCACTTCTAATCCATCAGCTACAAACGTTTTCTCTATGACCCCAGCTCGACAGTGAGTTGACATGATCCAACAAACAATCGATAAAGTCGCTTGGGTGTAGACCTGCAAATGGCAAACCCACGGAATAAAATTTACGGCGTAGTATCGATCAAGAGTGGGTGGCATTAGTTTGGTTTGACGCTATTCCATCTATGCCCAATGGTCGCCCCGTCATATATATCGTAAACCTGAGCGTATAAGACTATCATGCTTGCAGTAAGGATCACGACTGTGCCGGAGTCGGTTCACGCGTGTTCATAATGCCTCCATGTGATTGTGCGGTTCCATGGGATAGCATATTTAGGAAGTGACAATACCACGAGACTGAGGTCGCGACTTGTACTACGAGGGGAGGCGCGCAGCTGCTAACGATTTGACTCGTGGTGTCATCACTTACGTTTTGTTCCTTGGTTTTAAGTACGGGAGAACCTGCGCTCCGGCTGTTCATAGGCCGGTGGTTGGTTTGTTCCTTATAAGGAAAGTAGGAGATATTGGATCAAATGGTCTATTTTGAGAGCTAGCCAGTGCATGAAAGGATCACGCGCGTGCCTTGTAACCCGAAATTCTCAGATTCGAGCCTGCGTGGGGGTGCAGGGCGTCCTGATTGCCAAGTTTTTGAACATATGCACGACAACAACAGCCGTATGGATGGATAGAATTATGCTCAAGATGTGACGAGCTGCTGATGCACAGCGCAGCAAGTCTCAGCACGCGCTTAGTATATTCCAAGTGTAAATTACTGTTGAAGAACTTGGTCGTCAAGCCACGAGTTCTCACAAATATAGAACAACTAAAACAGCGTAGTTCGGTAGTTCACATCAGGCAATTACAGCTACAGGACTGATAAATGTAACAGTAAGCTGGTGAAGGCAACAATGAGAACGTATGGGACTGTCTGAACAGATTTAGCACGTTCGTTCGATGCTCGAATCGATTTAACCAGCTGACATCGTGATAGGACTAACCGACAGCAAAATAACGTGTAAACAGAAGAGGCAAAAATACTAACAACAAAAATTAGTTAATTCCCTAAATGAATAGCACCTGGTTATGCGTAATACGCCGGGGGAAGACTTATCATCAAGGCCATGGCAAAGTCAAGGATTGCACAAGCAACCTATGCTTGCATAGCTCTGGTTGTGTTAGCTGGATCGCGGAACAACTGCTTGAAATGATTGATCAGTTCACTTAATTGGACGGATGCATCACATTTAAAGACCGTATCAATGACATGACGACGTGTATTAGAAATACACGTAAACTCTCCAAAACTTCAGTCACCTAGGGAAACAAGCCTCAATCAATCATCGAAAGCGGTACATCAGCCATTTAAAATGATGCTTCGCTGCCATACAACTCCAGTGACCTACGGAAAGAAACATAATAAAAGGGAGAGAAGGGGGACCTAGCGTGTAAAATTTTAATGCCCTAAGCAAACATTCAGGTTGAGGCGCCTATACATTGCCGACAATCTGCAGTCACAAACAACTGACTATTGTACAAAAATAATTTGACATCGGCGAAGCGACTTCCTTGTGGCTTTCACTGCTCAGCGCCAAAATCAGCCATTCATCGTCATCAACAGCAGTACACTAGGGAACTTGAAGTGATGTTTCGCTGCCGACAACCACGGTGACCTATGAAATGAAGAATAATAAGGAGAGGAGGGCCTACCGTAAAATCTTAAGGTCATAAACAAACACGGGCTCAAGGCACCTACATCTAGTCAACAACATACCACCACAAACAGCTGGCTATCGTGCAAAGATAGGACCGAATTGGCGAGACAGCTTCCTTGCGGTTTTCACTGCCCCGGGTCATAATCAGCCACTGCACCGCAGATAACTCAGCACCAAACACACTTTAAACTGGCAATCCGACTAGACGACAGCAGACACGCCACTGGTGTCGATTGCGTGTCGTGTCCAGTAACATCTTAAGCAAAGCACAGGACGGGTCACGTGGACTCCAGCCTGGAAAGCGACACGGACCGACGGCACCAAATTTGGTCGTCAGTCATTACCCCGTAGGTAACTCAGCACCAAATACATTTCAAGCAGGCAGTCCGAGGGCGGGATGGGCTTGCAAAGCTTGGGGGAGGCTAGTGTTATTGTACGGATCAAGGACATGGTCATTATGTGCTAAAGACATTAAATGACCATCCGTCCAGTGAAGCATTACTTGTATATGATGAGACCGCCGGATACAAAATGATAAAATCCGCTAGAATGCGCATGGGAAAGAGATCTCGGGCTCCGTACAGGATCCTATCGGACATGCCGCAACGACAGAGAGCTCGCATGCGATCTGTCGCGTTTGATTCTCGACTTCCGCAAATGAGCTAAATCGATTTTGCTTATTCCTTTTATAAATAAATAAATTGTTTTAATCTCGATGAAGAGACCTACCAATACAGGATGAAACAGCCGTACAGTGCTTTTCCGGGCGTGTGATGGCTGTCTGACTGAGTCTAGATGTGATGAGTTGCTGCCTCTTCTTTTTAAGTTGAACTTTTAGCTCGTCCACTCATTCGGTCATTTATTGTAATTATTATTGATTTATGCACATATTTATACGTCCAAGGCGACGAGAGTCAAGGTAGCTGAGTCCATTGCAATTCGGTGCATGGATCACAGCTAACCAACCCAAAGTAATTGAACCGATGCTCAAGGAATCTCGGAAAGAGAAGAACGAGTGGTTTATAAATGCAACACTAAGTTTACAAGCATCATCTATGGAGAGGAATAAAAGATAAAGAAACCGCAGTTCACCGGGGCGGATCCCACCGGGGCTGTCTGCTACACAGTATTGTAGGCCAAATAGACTAATCGGCTTAGGGAGCTTCCGAGACACCTGTATGAAGGAATAAAAATAAAGAACATATTCAGTTGCTAGAGAAGAACGACCGTAAAATTGAATGTATATTACTTGCGAGCTCAGCATCAACACATCTAGCATTGATCTCACAGCGTGTACAAGTTAACACATGATCCAATGAGGACTAGAAAATGTGCAAGAAAAGGAGAATTCTGAAGGAATACCAATCAGTCGAATCCAGACGTCTTCAGTACCGAAGCATATAAAAGTATCTGATACAGCTGGGGATAGTCGAAGACTAAAGCAACCTCGTCAGCGCACTCATATCAAGAACTGGATCAAGGTATTTCACGATTAAGGACCAAAAAGGACGGCGCGGTGTTAGCATAGTTAGGTGGAATCCATCAACTGGATCCAATCAGAGTATCACCAGCGCCAGAAAAAGTGCTGGATGATCACCTTTTCGGACCACATCGGCAGTGCGAAATCCTTTGTTCTCGGTGAGGAGCTCGAAGGCGCGAGCCAACTTATACAATTCGAGATGGATGAGGGGCTCATGTCTCTTCTTACGATATGCAATATCTATGGGTCCTGCCTGGTGCATCTCTGGATTTTAGTGACCATCTAAGTTGATCTGGGAATGATGGATCCCATGCGGAACATTTGAATGGCCATACAATGCCCCTAGACGCATACGCGCCTTCAAGTGGGTATGCTGCAAACACAATGTTTATTCTTAATGTTGAGTGTACTGCTGTGGGTGACGAAAACAGTACACTCGCACCGGAAGGGTGGTGCCATTTTAGCGTGCACGAGACGGAGCGACAGGGGGAGTAAGTATCGACAGTCAAATTATGGTGAGTTGAGAATCAATCAATTAGTAAAGAGAGGATTGTGACAGGTGGTCTATCGTTCTTGTGAATATGTTGTATATCGAATTGATTGACATGCTAAGATGTGTTCAACTCACCGGTTCGTGCCGGGAATTTTCAAGGAGGCCAACATGTTTTTCCTATCATCATCCGTTGGTAGGTTATCATAGGCTAAAAACAACCTGTAAAATATAACGGAGAGCAAGGCAGGGAAAGAAACGTTCTATGTGCATATTGAAAAACTGGGAAAAGACATGTGCGTGGGAGACAATTTTACCGATGATTTAAAAACTCAGCGAAGACAAAAGTTAAACGTTGCACTGTGTGCATGTATTAGATGTAAGAAGGGTAAAAGAGGGCACAAATCAGAGTGCAACAAGCAAGCAATCAACACACACGCGTGACGTGTGTTCCTGGTTTATTTGGATTATACCTCTCTATCCTCCCTCCATCTCGCAGCGTTGTCACTGTACGCTCATAGGAACTGGATTTACTAGCCCTATACAGTGATCCACCATGCGTGAAAATATCTTCTATGATTACAGTCCGTGCCATCACTAACCGTTTTCACTGCCATCCATGATTAAGCACAAGCGGATAACTCAATCACATTGAGCCGATTGCCTTTCTGTGTGACACCATTCGATACAGAATTCTCGAGGCAGTCCGAAAAGCCCAAGCTTATTCCAATCCCGCGTTTCTCAACACAGCTGTGGAAGAATTTGTGATCTCTCAATCTGTGTTCAGCGCTGTGTTCAGATTCAGGTAGCAAGTCCCAGTCACTTGCCATTCCTAGTAACCTTATCAGCTAGTACCCCTGCATAACCCATCACACGGACCGCTCAATTGACCTTACAACCACCACGCTCACCTGACCGATGTGCTACGCTCTTGAAGTTGGAAAGTACAGAACACCAAGCAACCCACTGGGTCAGGCAATCACACCATGTTGAATGGCGGAAATGCGGATCCGAAAATGCTCCAAGCAAAAGACATTTGCGGGTTAGGAGAATGTCATCGACTCATTAAAAGAGGTTTGGCTTGCTCGCACTGTTTGGAATGGTATCGTCCGAAATGTGCAAACGTATCCCAACAGGCAGGAGAGCGAAATAGCTCACAAGATGCGCTTTGGTTCTGTACTGCATGCTCGCCCATCCCAATGATTAAGTGCTTGCTTATCCTAGTTCTGTAGTACGCCCGGTTAACCGCAGAAGAAGAGCAGAGGATAAACGATAAGATTACTTCAGTGGAAGCACCACGGAAGCGCATCGGTTGCAAAGCAAAGGAATACTGCACAATACGCTTCCCCTGAACCGCAATCGGCCACGTCCCCATCTCCGTTGTCTTCTCCAACTTTGGTAGAACGCCGGGCGAAAACTGACCGTATCTACGAGTGAAACAGTACTCATGGCAAGGAAAATGAGGCACCACTCGAAACGTCTGGGTAAGCAACTTCCATTAGACCTGACATTAACAAGGATGAAGCAGCCGAAAACCAATCCTCGGTACATGTGGCTCAAATGTCTCTTGTCGAGACAAAGCCCCCCGGAACATCAGATACATATGCACAGATTGCTGTCGCCGTTGCGGCCTCTTCTGTTGTAAACACCGTTAACACGAATTGAGGAACAAACAGTAAACAATCAACACTTCTCGGCAGGTCAGGACAAACGATTACGCTACCTAGTAGATCAACAAAAAAGGGATCCAACAATAGTGCCCGGACTGTTATGTGCTCAACTGTCCCCGAATCTACTGCCATCACATTGCGGGGTAAGTTATCGGACGACCAAGACCAATGGAACTCATTGTGCGTTCTGATGAGTGTCAAAGCCAAAACCATAAACCTATTACGAATTACTCGTCATCCGAACTCGCTACACTATGGAGAACCCAGACTTATCCGAGTAACACAAGAACTCTCCAACAACGTAGAAAACGTTTTGCTCTCCGCAAGGGCACTAAGATACGCATAAATCCTGATGTCCCTTGGAGCTCAACAAGTAAAAAGAAACACCGAAGAGTGACACAGCAAGCAAGACCGCCTAAACACAATCTTCATACATGGCATGCCAGAACATCCTTCTAACGATGTTCAAGAGGCCGGAAAGCGGTCTATTCGTGAAACACTTTCTCTGAATAATATTGTGGCTCTATCGCCCACCAGGATACCTCTCTCACCAAATTATAGAGGATGCGGCCCTAGGATCCTAAAACTTGTGATTCAGTCAGAGCAACAAGCAACGGAGGTTTTGGATCGATGGCGGAGAAATCGAAAATGCCTTCCTTCTGAACTTCACTTGAAGGTCGCGGAAACTTTGCAAAGTTCAAATATCAAAGCACCTGAAGCACCAAAGGTACCGACGATGACACAGGAGCTTGACTGTAAAATTACTCGACTCTGACGTAGTTCTAAACGAAGATTGGGACGCACCTTGGCCGAATCAAGTTGCAAACGAGGTATCAGTATCAAAAACGAATAACTGCCAACCTCCCATCGGTCGGCATTCTCCCACACTTGAATCCTTCAACTCTCTGTGGGCTCCCAGAGACTGAGAAACTGGCCTGCTTGTATACGAATGCTGAGGGTCCAGTTAATAAACTGGCCGAACTGAAAGATCGCTAAGTTTCCGGGTCATATGCCATTGGTATCACGAGACGTGGTTGCACACGGGAATGACGGACACTGCATTTCCGCTACCGGGCATGTCGCTGATCCGGAACGATAGGCTCATAAAAGGAGGGGTAATCCTGTATTACCAAAGCGACTTACAGTACGAAGCCGTAGAGTATTCAGACTCACAGTTCCCCGAATCTCGTTGGTGCCGCTTGCAGTTAAAAACAGAGACGCCTGCCTTCTTGTCTTGGTGTACCGCCCCATGACTTTACACCCGAAACCGACTGCCACCTTGCGGCTGCTTTAAGATGCAGTTTAGAGAGGAAGTACAATCACATACTTATCATAGGTGATTTCAACGTACATTGTTTAGAACCTCATGCAACGATCGGAGAACAATTCAAAGCCGATCTAGCAGATCTCGTAACCACTGTTCCTGTTTACAATCAAATTACTTTGTCCACTGTTCAGAACAGGTAACAGGCCATCTGTGCTGGATCTCATGCATACCAACACGGAGCATATGATTGATGTGTTGGTTTTATACTGCCCGTTGGGTCGCAGTGATCACGCAATCATTAGTTACAACTTCGTCTGCTATGTGGAATATCGGAACGAGAACAATGAGACTGTGCGATCCATCACAAGCTACGATCGATTAGCCCAGCTCGTCAGCACTACAAATTGGCTGTTCTTGGCTGGAGGATCCCCGGAAGTCGCCTGGCTCGAGTTCGTCAACAAATTCAGTCAGCTGATTGCAGAGGCTTCAGGGATAAGCGTTTGCAATAAGAGTAAATCAGTTTCTTTCGTTAGGAGCAATACTCGAAAATGGATGACAGTACGCAACGCAGCATGGCGAGTGTACAGAGAAGCTCCAGCACCAGAAACTTAGGACAACTACCTGCCCAACGTAACCAATGCACTCAACTACGAAGAGAAGACAAAGTCGCATATCAGCAGAACATCGCAAAAACCTCCAGTGCTAAACGCAAACTGCTGTACAAGCACGTCAATAGATTACGAAAGGTAAGGATTTCCTCCACTCAGGACGGCTGATGGCCCAACAAGAACGGCTGTGGAAGCAGCAAACGCACTGTGGATACAATATGCCCAACGTTTCAGACGGTCTTGCCATGAAGCGATCTTCCAACCTTTGTCGTCTCTCCGCCAGGAATAACCCACATCACTTTTACGCGGAGGTTGTATTGCTAAAGCTAACGTCTCTACGCAAACACAGCTGGCCGGGTGCCGATACCATTCGTATAGAGGCATTGGAAGCAACAGCAAGCCAACTGGCAGGACCTTTGGCTCAGTTTCTCAAGCGCTGGTTAAACCATAATCAAGTTCCCGCTTTGTAGAAGCTTGCAATAATAACCCCGACTCACAAAGGTGGAAGCAGAACTGAGCCCTCCAACTATCGCCCAGTATCCCTTCTTCCTATATTCTCCAACGTCATGGAATCCATAGTTGCCGTTGCACTGGTGTGTTATCTGGAAAACTGTAACATCAGGCCTGAGCAGAACGGCTTCCGTCGACAGCGGTCGTGCACAACGAATTTACTAATCACACGCAGTAGTTGGACAGAGTCAGCTAAAGCTGAAGGCGGGATATGATCTACCTGGATTTTTCGAAGGTTTTCGATCGTCTAGACCATCGTATACTACTCTGTAAACTTCAGCATTACGGGGTCGGCGACTCACTTTTAAGCTGGATTTTCAACTTCTACTTCAATGGCAGTTAGTGGTCAGAGTTCAGAGCTCTTTATCGGACCGCATACAACTCGAGTGTGATTTGCTGCAAGGCTCAGTACTAGGTCCACGTTTGTTTTTGGTGTTTATTAATGGCCATGCGCAGGGAATCGCTCCAAACGTCTTACTGTTCACCGAGGATATCAAGATCTGGTGCAGGATCCAGGTGAACACAGACCAGCATCTGCTTCAGAGTGACCTATAACATTATATTTTCGGTAAATTGCATGCATGACTCCTGAGTGGAGATTTACAACAATTTGCCGAGAAGGGGCGAATGCCCCGGCATAATAATAATCATTGGTTTTAAGTAGACTTCAAAACTTTGGGCGGAACCGCTTCCATGGTCACCGTGTGTTTGTGTAATCCGACACTGAATGTATGAAATATCAGGTTGTGGGAATCGTTTTAGGAGGACTGGGAGGAAGCTCCCCTCATATATGTATCATATACCATCAGTGATAATCGGAGGGTGGAGAAGCAGATATCCGAGATGTCGAGTTTGGTAAAGCCGAGAGTTGATAAGTATTTCGCCGAAGCCGGATATATAAATCCCCGATTGTTTAAGATAATTGGATGGTGATAAATCTCGCGTGTCTTGGGGAATTGTGCGCTTATATACTTCGAGATCATTGATGCGTTATTTCCGGAGCCATATTTGTCGACCTTCAGCTGGTGCGTACGCGCCATGCGGTCGGCGTCACAAATTCCGACATCCATGACGTGCACCGATGATCCCTTTACTGCGATTATATCTGGCTTGATGAATGAGGTCGCTGTTGGAATTCTTGGTTCGAGAACGATGTTCACTGTTCGT